ATTGGTCAAGTTTTGTGAACAGACAATTTTGATGAACTCTGATTCATCATGTGGCTTTCTATCATGCCACCAATGTTATGATGGTGGCTATCAGTATATAAAAAGCGATAAAAAGCCAATCGTGGTAAACGAAGGTGTGTTATGCAGCAAATAGCCTATATATATATATATAATTTTCATCAGCCATTACTCCAGTGCCACATGATCCTTCAGAAATCATTCTAATATGCTGATTTATTATCAGTGTTGAAACTGTTGTGCTGCTCAATATTTTTTGGAACCTGTAATACTTTTTTCTTTGATTCTTTGATGAATAAAAAGTACAGCATTTTTTTTCAAAATATGAGCATAAGAAGCATGATGAGCACACGAAACTTCTTTATAAAACACTAAAAATCTTACTGATCCCAAACTATATAAATATAGATTTATACGGCAACCACAGCTGTCAGTTTTTATGCTATTTGACTCATCCAACTGTCTGACTAAATTCTTGTCCTTGGCATTTTAAACAGTTCTAACGCATATTTTATTCACACGCTCACAATCTTGGAAGTCCTCCGGTCATAATTAAGAAACAACTGAGAACAAAACATTTGATCTGATGATTACAAGCCATTTTCAATCAAGGAACATTCTTCTACTGTGTGTTTTAACTAGACCACAGTGCCTGATTTGAGAGGCTCATATCCATATGTGGGAACATGGCACCAATCTCTTCGCTAAAAACGAAAGCGCCGAAGCTTTCTTTTGCCTATGAGAAAAGTGCAAACTCAGATATAGTTAATGCCAGGGAAAAGATGGCAGTCTTTTTTCTCATTCATCCAAGCAGCAACTTAACCAACCACAAAGAGCTGGCCTGCCAATTCAGGACTCTGAGAATCAATTCAAAGCAAACACAGCCTAAAAAGCTTTGATCTTTATACTGACAGCAACTAGGCAGACTTATAAACTCAAATGTGTAATGTTTCGTTGTGGTTTTGATAGGACAGATGGAGAGTCTAATACAGTTAATCACTTTGACACAGTATATGTCTGTAAAACCAGTTGTGGAGGGAAAATGTTCATTCTGTGCAATCCTTTATTTTTTCACACCCCAGTTCTATAGACTCCCAGATTCTTGTGGCTTCTGGATCGCTAAATCTCTGGAAAAAATCCATTAAATGAATTTATACAGCTAATGTTAAAACAGATCAGCTGATTTTAGCTTTCAAGATGAACAGCTATCTCTGTTGCACTGAATCCAAGGGAAGTGTATCATTCTTAACCTTGTTTTCTCCCATACACTCATTGACCACGTGGAGAACACTTTGCATGGGCCGGCTGGAGCAGTGCCACTGAGCTATTTTCCATGCTCCCCACAGACAGATGCTAGGCCAGGCTGTTAAAGGAAAAAAAAAAATAGAGCGGGACCAAAATTACAAGAAGACACATTCAACCGACAAGGCTTTTTGTGGTGAGCTGCATTCGGGCTCAGAAATTTTGCACTGAAATCATTAACATGAAAAGCACTTGATTAAAAATAAAGTTTCCATCACGTGTCTCTTTTTGGTGTTTGAATGCTTCGGTCCATTGCTTTTTGAACGGTGTCCAACCCTTTTCTCTCCACTCCACTCCACACCAGACCTTCCACTGAAACCGTTCTCAGTTTTTTCACTCTTACAGATTCAGGAAACAAGAGTAATGCAGTAATGAGCAAACATAACCCTGAGGTACACTCATAAAACTCCCTTAAACTGATCTTTAACCAAATGTTTGTGTGAGGAGAGGAAGGAAACAACTAATGCCAGGCTAGACCTCAAGAAAAATTGTCTGTGGTGTCTTCAGTAAAGATCTGATAGCACTCTGAAGCAGATTTGACTAGCATGAATTTCTAGGCTGGCTGATGTTTGATGCTGAAGCCTAGTGGCCTGGGTACAAATCAGAATCATTCAACATCATCATTCAATAAGGTTTTCATTCCGTAAGGTTTGTTGTTGTTGCTGTTGTTGAAAGAAGTGAATACTTTTTTCGACAAGGATGCATTAAATTGATCAGAAAAACATTAACAACATTTATAGTGTGACAAAAGATTTCTAATAAATGGTGTTCCTTTGAACGTTCCTGAAAAAAATGCATCACAGTTTCCACAAAAATATTAAGCCGTAAACCTGTTTTTAACATTGATAATAATAAGAAATGTTTCTTGAGAAGTAAATCAGCATTTCAAACTGAAGCTTGTAAATTCAGCTTTGTCATCTCAGGAAAAAATAGAAAACTTATTTTAAATTGTAATAATATTTCTGTTTTACTGTTATATAACTGTTTTATTGTATGTTTAATCAAATAAATGTGGCCCTGGTGAGCATTAAAGAAATAAAAAACATTAAATAAATTGTACCAACCCCAAACTTTTGAATGCTTGTACACGTCAGGCACTAGCCATGCTGGTGTTCTAGCAGGGAATATATTCCCATATTAGATATATTCTAAAATAATTGCTTGTGCAAATTATGTGCAGGGTAGTTGTCTTTACATCAGTTGTCCTTCCTACAGCATATATTTAATAATTATGTTGTCTGAGCAAGTTAGTAGCATTTCTCTCACCATACAGGACATAAACATAAACTAAATATTGTAGAAACTGAATTTGCTGTAAAGTTGCTTTGCAACGATTTGTATCGTGAAAAGCGCTATACAAATAAACTTGAATTGAAAACTTGAATAAACACACAATGACAAAAAAACAAATCTGAAATTTCCTGCTAAATTCAACCCGAATGTTAAAAATATCAATCATGAATCACTGTAGCTTTACTGAGGTTGGGGTTACAATAATAATTTCTTATGTACTCTCTCAATAAAGACATTTAGTCTATTTTAACTGACAAAATCTACAGTTCACCCAAAAATGTTGTCATCATTTATTCACCCTCATGTCGTTCCAAACCTGTATGAATTTCCTTCTTTTGTGGAACATAAAAGAAGATATTTTGAAGAGTGTTGGCAACCAACAGATTTAGTGTCCACTGACTTCCACTGGACAAAAATATGTTCTTTTACATTTCCCTGAAGAAGGAAAGGCTTATGGGTTTGGAACAACATGAATAAGTAAATGATGACAGAATTTTATTTTTTGGGCAAACTATCCCTTAATGTCTAAAAATGAATTCTTCTGGAATATTACTTGAATTGAAGATCTTGCCTCACCAGCCAGTATTGTCACAAATCTTACAAAGACACACGTATCTCAGAGATTTGCTCTCTGACACTAAGTTTTAAAAGCCTGTGTCTGCAAGGATAGAGTTCAGTTTTTTAAAAACATGACTTGAAATTATTAGCCCAAACGTAGGCTATTCTGTCCACATACAGGCAGACCAGCTTACATTATTCTTTCCTGCCAGTTTTTCCTCAGTACTTAGCAGTAAAGTTATCCTAATCTCAAATCATCCCAGACAGATATATTAGCATAACAAAAAACTACAAATAAAGAACCACAAGCATTCATTTGTTTTGCAGGTCTTACACAGGGTAAGCAGCTTATACTAACAGGAAACAGACTGAGCTCCCATATCAGAATAACAAGAAGAAATATAGCCGTTGTTTCCGGAGACGTCTTGACATCAACAGCTTTTCTTTAGCTTGAGAAAATGATATGTCTGTGTCTGTGAAGACAACTTCAGTTCTTGGTCAAAACAACGTGCCACGTCCCTGTCTGTATCCTTCCGTCCATTCGTACGGGAATCAGTTGTCCCAAAGCAGATTCTGTGTGAACACTGCAAAACTTCCTATCATTTTGTACAATGTAGATGTTTACTCATTTCACTCACTTTTCTAAACTTCCTAGAATAAAAAAAAATGTCTGACGTTACTTCCTCTGTTTGCAGAACAGTGACATCATTACTAAGTGTGCCTAATAATTTGGAAAATTTTGATGGCTAAAACTAGATTCCCAAACTTTTTATTTTTTTGTCAGCTGAACCCCTTTGACCCACAACATTTTCTTGAAGTATGACCTGAAGTCAGATTTTCTGAAACTTGATGTAATTTTTTAAAAAACTAAAACCTTGACATCCTCGACAGATGTGATCTCGATATGGCAATGTGCAATGCTGTCACCATCACCATATCTTTCACACAAGTTCAGTCACAAACAGGCTATCTCATCTGTGGTTAATTTCGGTTACCACCAACATTTATGCACTTTGTAGAAACATTTTCAGTAATATTTTTACAATGGAAGCTTAGCAGACTCATTTCCTATCAGTGTTTACAAATTGAGAGAAAATCTACATATACAGAACTGTAGATATGCCACATATAATGTCAATAGATGTTAAGTTGTAAATAACCTGGAGTTCTCATTTAATAATGTCCAAGCACACTCACATCACATGATGAATAAGGGATGTTTTCAGTGCACAGTGACTGCACACTTTTTCACATATAAAACAGAGATTTAATGACAGGAAAAATCACTCACCCTCATGTCGTTCCAAACAAGTCAGACCTTCATTCAACTACAACGTTCAAGACCCAGAAAGGTAGTAAAGACATTGTTAAAATAGTCCATGTGGTTCAAACTTAATGTTATGAAGCTACGAGAAAACTTTTTGTGCACAAAGAAAACTTTCTGACATGGAAGAGAAGAATTGTTGAATAAAGTTATTATTTTTGTTTTCTTTGCACACAAAAAGTATTCTTGTAGCTTCATAAAATTACTGTTGATCCAATGCTGTCACATGGAATATTTTAACAATGTCCCTACTACCTTTCTGGGCCTTGAATATGTCAGTTGCGTTGCTGTCTGTGGAGGGTCAGAAGGTTCTCAGATTTCATCAAAAAATATCTTAATTTGAGTTCTGAAGATGAACAAAGGTCTTACGGGTTTGGAACAACATGAGCATTAGTAACTAATGACAGAATTTTCATTTTTGGGTGAATTATCCCTTTAAAAGCCAGAATATGACATATAGCTCACATCATTATATGGTGACTGTAAACAAATCCAGACATCTTACCTGGCTCCGGTGACATCGACCCCAACCATCAACTGTCCGTTCAGTGACAGAAGCTCATCCCGCAGTTTGATATCTCCACAACAGGCCGCTGGGCTGTTCTTTTTCACTTCAGTCACCCAAATGCACCCGACATCCAAGACAGGGCCTTTATCGCCCTTCCTGCGCCTCCTCCTGACCCCTTTCTTCTTCCCCTCGGGGTCTCCAAAAATGGGAATATTTCCAAAGCTGAGCCCAAACTCCGGTCCATCTTCCTCAGACTTGTTCAGGTAGACCGCCCTCACCTCAGCATCGATTTCCTCTCTGAATTGGCTGCTACTGTACAGAGGACTCTCAACTTCAGCAAAGTTTAGCTGGATGTATTCCACAAGCTTGCGGATGGCAGCCTTGCAAACACTGCCTGTGCTTATCTGAGGCTCATTGCCCTCATCTCTGTCCTTTTCTCGTGCCCAGAGCCAGTTCTCCAGCAGAGGTAGATGGCTCAGGGCATTTTCTTGGGTGATAGGCATCCTAGCTGTTGCTGCTGGGCCTGCCTGGGCTGCCCCTGCATGTTGAGTCAAGGCTCTCCAGTGGTGGCTGTAATCAGACGCATTAGAATGGCTTCACATTCCTCTTGAAATGATACAGTGACCTCACAGACTTCAGATCCAGAGCGCTGCCGTCCATCGATAATACACTTAGACCACAGAGCTCCATGATGTCATCCGCAGAAACAAAAGGAAAGCGCAGAGATTGAGGAAGTAGGGCACGTTTATGCTTTGAGGGGTAACAAGAGAACGTGTGCCATTAGCGGGTCGTCTTGGTGTGTGCCAAATCTGATTTCCAACACCATTAAAGTGGAAAATAGTGGATCGCTGGGAGTCGAGATCTATCCTGACTCACAGGCGCCACAGACGTCCACCTAATCAGAAAGAAAATAAATAGAAATGACATTACAAAGCAAGTCAGCAGGCATGAACTCATGTTAAAACACTGCAGTCATGGCGCATTTGCTATTCAACCACAGTATGGACAGGAACAGAAATTGGCGTTAAGTATGACAACAAAGAAATCTTCCTATATATACCAGCCGTTTTATTTGACTGACAGAATTCATGAACTGGAAAAGGTGCCAATAATAGTCTTATGGGCCTTTTACAGATGTGTCATTTGGCTGTTTATACAGACATTCAGTTGGGGCAGAATCAATGCGGTTGAGATTATTCAATGCACGGTGAGCAGATAGAAAGGAAAAGCAAACTTCCTTTCAGTTCTTATTCACCTTAACCTCGTGGAATGTAACCTGACAATAAACGTTGAAGCTGCCAGCCAGATGTTGTGATGGTGTAGCTCGAACTCTTGGACTTGCAGACCATATTTCTGGCATATTTAAGTACATGCTGTAGACAAAGACCACAAGCAAATAGCTACTCTGAGGTTTTGCTCAAAATAACACGATTTTGGCTTCTGTGAGCATCACACAATCTACTAGGGCTCCCATATGTGATCAAAATCTTTCAGCGAGATAATGGAGCATTTATGTGTAACAATATATCAACTTTACATTAATGTCCATTATGAGGGAAAAAATCTGTGAGAAGATCTCTTAGCGCAGCTATATAAACAATATAACCAACTGTCAGCTGAAGTCATATGGATCAGACTAGAAGAGTAAAATGACAGCCAATACCAGAAGACAGAAGCCACCCTCCCCTTTCAAGAGTTTAACCTCAATAAGTCACATGTAATTTATAAATGGCAATTCTAAAACATTTCTATCATCAACCAGACATGCAATAATGTCAGTGAAAATGTGAGTAACGAAAGCATATGAAAACATGCTTACAGTGAAGCTTTGTCACGTGACACACTTATTTGTCTGTTAAGAGATGTCCTTACACTACAACGGTTTCCTACAATTTACTAGATTACATTCAAATGAAAAAATATCACGCATATCATCAACATCTTCCTCCTACCTTTTCACATTTTATGAGATTTATTCCTTACTCTATTTAAGCACAGAGGCTATGCCCCTCGCCGTGGTGTGCTGTCACAGTGACACAGAGGGTCTGCAGACTCCAGACTTACCCTCTGAAAAGACCCACATGTAATAGGATTAGTCTCACCCCTCCCTTGTGCCACTTACAAACACAATGACCTCCCATTTTCTCTTTGGTTGAGTCGATGAATGGCCAGTTCAAGTGTTTATATTTCTGTCATCATGTCATTCATGATTATTGATGTTTTTGTTCCTCACATAAGAACAACTTCTTTAACAAAGCAAATGCAGATATATAAAACACTGGCACACATTAAATAAGATGTTTGCTCCAGTCTTCAGTGTCACATTATTCATCAGAAATCATTCTAATATGCCGATTTTGGTGCTAATTTGCATCCTTGATGAAATTAAAAAAAAATTAGGGGGGGGGGGGATGTTTCTTTAAAATTAATGTTAATCATCAGGAACTACTTCCCCCAGTCCAGTGACAGAAAATTGTCTGCAAACATTCTTAAGCCACTTACACTGAGAAGAGCTTCTGCCAACGACAACATCCCCATGAACAGCCTCATGATAAAGAAAGAAAGCTGTTGTGTTCTCCACTGAACTGACTCATATTAAAGACCCATAAAGAGGGATTAAAGCTAAAGAGGACCAGTTTTCTTTGATATTCATTACATAGGCATTATGTACTTGGCTTTATCCACTGCAGAGACACAGTAATAAAAGCACTGCATTTGATAGTGTGACAAGGAAACCATGGGTCACTAGTAATAATGAAAAATGCGATCAATACTGGATTATTATCGCTGTAAAACCATAATTTCCACATGGTTAGAATAAATCATCATCAAAATCAGGCCTGTCAGGCATAGGTTTTAAAAATAACAATAAAAAAGATTAAAAGGTGTCTTATATGGCTAATAATGACCATTAAAGTGTGTGCTTGGGTCTCTTAGATGAATTAAAACAGTAATTTTGTTTCGATTATACTAGAACAAAACACTTCTCCAGCTTAGCCAAACAATGACATAATGGAAGCTAAACTGCCCGAGTTCAGAGCTCTGTAAATACATTCATAATAAAAAGAAAGAAATGAGAGAATATTTCAAAGAGAAACATTCCAACTCCAGAGTCCAACAGAATTTGTCACTCTGTGAGGGTGGTCTTTCAACTCCTCTTTGTTTTATCCATTAGGATCACATTACTGAGCTCTCTCGTCATTTAATAGAAGTGTTTATCATGGACGTGGATGTGTTCATCCTGAAACTTTCCTTTACTTAATTCGCATACGCACACTAGACATACAAATCAAACAAGCTCACGCCATGAAGTGATTCCTGAAAAATAGAGGAATATCTCAAGAAATGAACGCTGCGGTCAGAGAACACTGACTGACAAATAATAAAGTTGGATGCCAATTGTGGAAACATGAATTAACTTGAGTTTTCTAAAGAAGCGCCGTACTGCCACTAATCACAGAGGTCTTGCTGAGAGCAGCCGTAAACGGACTCACTCCAGCATGAGGTTCTGCCCTCAGGCCCACGTCAGTGCTTTATAATCTACAGCCATCGATTATGGGGTGGACTGCAACTCTTCTTTGATCTGACAAATGTGATTCTTTACGACTAAAGTAATGGGTAACTCAAATATATTTGAGTTCCCAAAATAAATAGATCTTTCTCAACAACATAAATCTATTCATGCATGGGACTGAGCTATTTGTAATGCTAAACAGTATGTTTTGTTAGTTAATGAGGCACTAGAAGTACAGGATACAGTGTGGTTGTGTGATCGTACCCTAGTTCACACACGCTACTGTCAGACCGCCAACAAAGACTGGCTAATAGAGCAACAAATTGTAGCTTTAAAGTGTCTACAAGAAACTGGGTCAGTAACTAGTGACCGATAAATAGATAAATCCTTATATGAGAAGACGTAGCACATTGAAAGGGAAGCAGGTTGAGTCTAGAAGAAATCTGCTCAGTGCTGTTTGTTAATAATGCGAATGCAGATGGTCAACATTAAGGTCAATCTAATCTACTCAGGTTATGGAGCTCTAATCCTGGACAGTGGGTGGAGGGGTTACCCACAACTGACCAAAATGTAGGGGGAGGGCTGCAGGAGTATCCAGTGGTAAAAAAAAAATGGTGTAGGATTTACTTTTACAATTGTCACTCAGAAATTGCTGGTAAATTACATAAATGATTACAAAGAAATGGCAAGCAACACACTAAATTAAAGGGGTCATATGACGTTGCTAAAAAGAACATTATGTTGTGTATTTGGTGTAATGAAACGTGTTTATACAGTTTAAGGTAAAAAAAAAACATTATTTTCCACATACCATACATTATTGTTTCTCCTCTATGCCCTGACTTTCTGAAACGCATCGATTTTTACAAAGCTCATCGGTCTGAAAAGCGAGGTGTGCTCTGATTGGCCAGCTATCCAGTGCGTTGTGATTGGCCGAATACCTCAAGCGTGTGACGGAAATGTTCCGCCCCTTACCATACTATGATGCCGTGTCACAGCCGGAGCGATGAGACAAAAACATTAAAAGCCATTATAAACTAGGGCTGTCAAAAAATAATTTGAATTTCGAAATCCACATTCGAATGCAACGTTTTTAGGTGTGCGTTAAGGAGGCAGCCTTATCAGTGGCACATGAGATGCGATGACGATGTAAGTGTCATTGCATTATAATGTTTTTGTTAGCCTATCCAGTTGAAGCCACTAGATGCGGTGCTGCTGCTTTGTTAATTTAAAATATAGCGGAAAAAGAGAACATCAATGCGGAGAAGATCATGTTTACATCAAAACTGAAACCAAGCTGTTCACACAGAACACATATTTCGCACATTTTCTAGAAGGACATTGTAACAACATTCATAGTTACGGGAAGAAGGAGGCGGGAACCGGCGAACATTTAAACACTTTAATAAAATAAACACACAAAATGAAAGTAAAGCGGCAGCCCCTCGCGGATGACTGCCGCACACAAAATAAAATCCAGGCCTGGTCCTCTCTCGTCCAACACTGTCGTCACTCCTCCTTTTATCCTTCCGGAGCTCCTCCGTGGGACTCGAGCCCGGTGAGGGGCACAGGTGTCGCTCATTAGCATTTACTCCACCGGCCTCGCTCCGTTCCCATGGCTCTCTGCCCCGCCCCTCTCGTCACAGACATCTAGCAGCGTTGCACTTGCGGCTCGCACAAAAGAGTGTTTAGAAAGCCATGTACAATTAATGCAAGTTTAACTTTGAAAAAACATATCTCGAGACTTTATGGCGGGGTTTTTCCCCCCATCCCACTGCATCTCATGTTTTCAAATGAAAAATGTAATCTGTGCGATTGGCTTTCGGCCCTTTGTATTAAACTATGAATACATTATACATGATGCTGTTTTGTTTATAGTTGTTTAAAAAGCAACTTAATTATAATTGGTTGATAAACATTTTAAACATTATGCACTTTTTTCACAGGTAGTCATGTTATCTTATATGCTTTGAATAAACGTGCATTGGTCGATGCGTCCTCTTGTGGCCTCAGGAGAGAAGCCAAAAGCTTTTCTTCACCCTAACTGAAATTATGCATTTTAAATTAGAATATAATTCGAATTTTGATCATATTTAAGTACAAAATGCGAATTTAGTTTTTCAGCCATTTTGACAGCCCTATTATAAACGATGCCGGCCAGCGACCTAGAGTGAGCGGCGGCCAGCGACCTAGAGTGAGCGGAGGCCGACTTGAGTGAGTGGTGGCGGGCGGGCTTGCGGCAACCGCATGTGGTGTGACGTTGAAGTTGATGTATTTCCTCAGCGACCAGCATGGATCAGCTCCAGGCATGCTGAAGCGGATATCGTCCTCTTTTGGAAGGCCAAACAAAGTAGTTTCGCTTTCACAACGAAACACACAGC